TTTCCAGGGACAGTTGTGCAGGATATCTCAATCTTGGCTGGAGATTATTATCTTTCAAAGCTTGAATTATTTCCCCCCACGCTCTTCGTGATTTGATGGTTTGTGCAGAGAAATCTGCTGTAATTCTGATGGGTGTTCCCTTGTAAGTGATCTGTTTCTTGTCTCTGACAGCTTTTAATATTCTGTTCTTGTATTGAATTTCTGGAATTTTTATTATGATATGCCTGGGTGTTGCTCTGTTAGGGTTGTAGGTAGCTGGGGTCCTGTATGCCTCATACATCTGAGTATCTTTACCTTTTGCTAAATTAGGAAAATTCTCCTGGATTATTTCTGTGAGTAGCTTTTGTAGTTCATTTGTTTGTGTCCCTACTTCTTCTTTTATGTTCTTAATCCTTAAGTTATGGATCCTCTTATCATCTTCTTGTCTTTGTATTATTGCTGTTTGTTTCTTTGTTATTTTTAAGAAGTTTTTCATTTCATTCTCCCATATTACAATTCTGCCCTCCAGTTCAGATAGTCTGTCATTAGTTTCTTTCAAGCTGTTATGCCAGTCTTCGATAGACTTCTTAGTTTCTTGGTAGTCCCTTTGAACCTGCTTCACGTATTCTATGCTTTCCCTGTTTTCTCCATCAAACAATTCTCCCCTCTTTTTCTGTTCTTCCATTCCACCATCTGTTTTTTCTTGGGTGGGGCTTAGCATTTCTCTAACTATTTTGCATACTTCTAGCTTCAGGTCGTTGATAACTTCATTCCTGAATTGGTCTATGAGGCTCTCTATATGGCGCCTTATGTGTAATGGTGCGGTGTCTGCTATTGCCTGTTTCTCAGAATTGGGGGCCGAGGAGCCTTTTTTGTTGCTGCCTCTTCCCATATTCTCTGTTCCTTATATATGCAAGCTTATATGAGAGGCCCAGCTTCTCTCCCTGTCAGCCACAGCCTGATCGAATTGCCCCGGTTAGGTGTTCCCACTCACCGCTGTGCACCAGGCAGCCTACGCGGGGGCCTGCCCCTCCCGGCCTCCGTCAGGCTCTGGGATCTGGTTTGGGCCAGCCTACTGGGTCTGCCGGCAGCGTCACGCAGGCCAGGCACTTTTCACCAATCCTGCCTGAGAGGGGAATGTATGGCTGGAGTCTCCACTGCGCCCTGCTCCCGCAGGACTGCTCGGGCCCAGAAAGTCCGCTGGAGTCAAACTGTGGTGGAGTGTCAGTTTCTCTCACTCACCTTGCCACAAGTCAGAACATGCCTCCCTGCCCATCCTGTTTTCGACTCCGTTCACAGACTCCCGTTCTCAGAGTTTCCGCGCGTCTCTCTCCTTGCCGAGCCGATGTAGAGGCAGCCAGCCACTGTGCGGCGGGAAACCCAAATCGCGACTTCCAATGGCGCAGGGTCCAGCCTCAGCAGCGAGACTTTTCTGTTCCTGTTTTAGCACCAGGACTGCATTCCAAGTTGGTTTCTCTCAGCCCAATTCGTTCCTGAGTCAGCAGAGCATAACTCCATCTGCTTATGTCTCTTTAGTCTGCACCATATCTGGCTTCTGAGCCTAGTTTTTCAGAGAGCCTCCGGTAGTTGCTGTTATCTGTCCGCCATGTTCTCCCGGAAGTGTCCGCCATTGTTTTTCTATTGAAATATTACCTGTAACAATCTTGGGAGACAAAAGCTTAGTAATGAACGTGACATGAAATCCCTTTGGGGGCTATCTGTAATCCAAAAATATAAGAATCTAAGAGAACCTCTTTACAGTTGACATTCTCTTTCTGGGTATTACAGAGTTACTCATAGACCAATCAGAGTCTTAGCAAACGAGTATTCTAGCTGGGCATGGTGGCACACTATAATCCCAGCACTGTGGAAGTTGGGATAGAAAGTTTGAGGCCACCTTGGCCCTCTTAGCAACTTAGTGAGACCTTGTCTCAAAATTTAAAATAAAGATGAGTCAGGGATATAGCTCAGTGGCACAATGCCTACCTGGCAAATGCAAGCTCATGAGTTCAATTCTTAGTGCCAAAAAATAAAGTAGAGGTGGGATTTAGCTTAATACAAAAGCTCTGGGTTCTGTCGTAGCACCACTAACTACATACGTACGTACATACCTACGTACAAAAAAAGAAAACTAGGGCTAATTGATAAGAAAAGTATAATTCTTTCTGCAGTATTTTGCTAGAATTTTCAAAGTCAGGTCATGCTTTTTTTGTTGTTTTGATATATCCTTCATTGAATATAACTTTTCTCATACTCTAGGCATGCTGGCACATACTTATAATTCTAGATCTGGGCTCAGTCAGGACTGCAAATTTGAGGCCTACCTGGGCAATTTAGACACTTAGTAAGACCCTTAGGGCAAGGCATGGTGATACATACCTATAATCCCAGAACTCAAAAGACAAGATTGTTGCAAATTCAAAGCCAATCTGTGCTGCATAGTGAGTTTAAGGCCAGTTTGAACTGTATAGCAAGGACCTATCTCAAAAAACAGGGACAAACAAATAAGAAGAAAGGGAGCAAGTGGGAATATTGCTTAGTGGAAAGGCCCTGAATTAAATCCCCATTACCAAAAGAAAGAAAAATGTATTTCCTCCCCCCAGGTGTGGTGGATTGAAAACTGATGGTCAACTTAAACACCAGCTGAACTGAATCAGCTTGGTGCTGCATGTAGATGGCCCCTCTGAGGACTGTTGACAGCATAAAAAGGAAACCTGGAGAGGAAGAGCAGTGTGGGTTCTCCTAAGTGGTGGTGGTGTTTTTTGGAGCTGTTGGTTCTTTTGGAATTGTTGGTTCTCCTGAAGGAGCTTGTCCTGCTGGCTTCGCTAATAGGAACTTGGCTGTTCTCATCATCAGAGCTTGGGATCTTGTCGCTGACAATGGCTGCAGTGCACTTTGGGGGAGCTCTAGTCCTTACTTGCGCATTGCTTCCTTGCTCCAGAGGGGATGATGTATGCTGTTTAATCTCCAGGAGAAGTTTGTCACTCTAGCTTCCTAATACAAACTCGCTGTTCTCATTGTCAGAAGATCTCAGGACCTCGTTGGTACTGATGATGGCTGTGGTACTTTTAAGGGGATCCCTGGTCCTTATTTTGAGTATCACTTCTTGGCTCCATTGCAGGACCCTCAGCCTTCTAGCATAGATCCTGCAGCTTGGCCTAGACTTTCTTGCTTCCACAGCTGACCTTTGGGCCTTCCCAGCACAAATCCGTGAAAAACTTGCATGAGTCATTGTCATGGGCTCTAAGTTTTCAATTGAACTTATGCAGGTTATTGCCATGGGATCCAGGCCCTCAGCCATATTTTGTAGATCTTTAGTGTTGTGGACAGATTGTTTGCATTTGATTACTTGGGTGACCATTATAAATAGTACTATAAATTAGGTGTCCTGTATGTGATTGTACTCCTTGCAACCCGTGACTACAACACCTGGCCACTTAGAGGTTGTAAATGTGCTGAAGGTGCTCTGCCATGTCCATTTCACCTTCAGAAGTCATTAAGGAAAAGATAGTGAAGAGGGGCTCTTTTTTTGTTTGGGTTTTTTTGTTGTTTTTTTTTTTTTTTTTTTTTGGTATTGTGACTCAAACTCAGGACCTCGTGCTTGTCAGGCAGGAGCTTTGCCACTGAGCTATCCCCAGCCCTAAAGAGGGGCTCAGTAGCTCTTTTTATTTTTCCTTGAAACAGTAAGTAGTAGTGACCTAAAGGGTCAGTTGTAAAATACAGTATTATTAAGCAGATCATGCTCAAAGCTCTCATCTGAGAAGGATAAAAGTTTTGATGAAGACAGAGCTTTTCTTTTGTTTGGGTCTTAAATCCATGATAATATGTATAAATAGTAGTTGTTTTCCTTTTGTGGTGTTTTGTTTATTGTGGCTATTTTTAAAAATCACATAGTTGAGTGAGCTCTTTTTTTTTTTTTTTTTTTTTTTGAGACAGTTTCTTACTATGTAGTTCAGGCTGGCTTCAAACTCACTGTGTAGGTCCAGCTGGTTTTGAGCTCGCTATGATCCTCCTGCCTCTGCCTCCCCAGCACTGGGATTATAGGAGTGCACTAACACATAACTGACCTTTATGCAATGAAACATTTAAACCTGAAACATACATTCTAAAAATATGATGGGAAACACTTTCCTTGATGTTTTTCCATTGTACAACATAGTAGATCTTGGTCAGCATTTTTAAAAGACGAAAATAGAAATATCAGAGTCAATGCATAAGCTATATGATTATATTACTTTGAGATTTATTCACCACATTCCAAAACGTACTGGAAAATATTCAAAAATACTTCTATACATGTGTGTGTATTGGAGTGCAAAAGGAATATATCCAATATATTATAAAATATACTGGGGAAAATATTCAAAGCATTCATACCTATGTATCTATGAAATGGGTTCAGTATAAAATGTATTTCTTACTGTATATCTTGATAAAAACAAATTATGTTTCAGGCCCTGAGATCAATTCCTGGTACCAAAGGGGGAAAAATATTAATTAATTAATTAATTTAATGGGCCAAAACATAGCCTAGTGGCACAGCACCTGCCTGGCAAGTGTGAGGGTTTAAGTTCGATTCCCAGTATCCAAAAACAAAAATACTGTTTAGATTATATAGATTTATCTGATAGGGAGGTTTTCTATCCTCCTAATACGAGTAGATAGAAGTACTTTTTATCCTATACTTAGAATACATTTCTCACATACTACAACTATTACCAGCTTGAATATATTACTGTGTATTTGATTAGAACCAGTGATTATTGGATAGGGAAAGAACTGTCTTATCACTGCAGTTCACTGGGATAGGGGGTACTTTTTTAAATACACACAGTACCTCACACCTCTCGGTGGACAATCCCAGCCAGTGGGAAGGCTGCTGAAGGGATGGACGTTTCTTGTGTTTCAAGTCTGTCAGACAAACAAAATGGAAGCCTCATGTCAGGCCATCACTGAAGGAAATTTTACAGAGACACAGCATTGTAGTTAGCTCTGATGTCTGGATTTCACCACCATAACAGGCAAAACTAGATGGTGGAAGACAACAGTGGAGACCTGTCCTCATGGCTGTGACAGAGAAAGACTTGCTGCTTTATGACTGCATGCCATGGACAAGAGACGCCTGGGCATCACCGTGTCACAGCTACCCTCTGGTTGCCACAAGGTAAGAACTAAACACAATAAATATTTTTCCTATTCTTAATCTTCAAAAGCTTTTAAAGTGAATTCTATTATCCTAGGTGCCTAAAATAGCATTAAAATAACTGATGTAGTTGATGTAAAGAAAAACTTTTCTTTTTTACAACTTAGTGATCATTTTTCACATTAGAGTAGATGTTTCTGTCACTGGCGTTTTTTGTGTGCAGTTTCTAAATTGTGGGCGCAACTTCCTAACCACTCACTTTAAGACTTGCTGAGTCATGGAGCCATTAGAGGGTTTTTCTTTACTTTATTGACTGTGAGTAGAAAACCACTGAAATTGTAGCAGCCTTTTGACTAGGTGATGGAATTATTTAAATCACAATGTGGTACTCCAGATAAACCACACAACTAGTCAGCCAAAAATGTTTTTTCACATCTCTGTAATATAAAAGCATGCTATTTTGATTCCCTTAAATAAATATTGATTTGACCTGAAGCAATGTTTCTAGCATGACAGATATGGGGAGTTGATTTTGTTTTTGTTTTCTTAGAGATAGGATCTTGCTATGTACTTCTGGCTAGCCTTTAACTTCAACTGTGTAGCCGAAGATGACCTCAAACTCAAGGCAATCCTCCTGCCTCAGCCTCGCAAGTACTAGGATTACAGGCATGTGCCATCATACCTGGCAAAATATGGGGAATTGAAAGAGAAAAGAAAAGAGAAAGTTAGATAGAGGACAGGATGTCTTAAGGGATAATAGCTATAAAACAAAAAGCATATTCAAATTTGGTCTTACTTGAATTCAAGTTCAGTTTCATATGACAAAAAGAAAAAAATCAAATTCAGTTTTACACGGACTTAAAAAAGAATCAAGTATAGCCACAATTCAAACACTGCACATCAAAAAGAGCTCTACAGGGGCTGGGGATTTAGCTCAGCGGCATAAGCACCTGCCTTGCAAGCAGGCGGTCGTGAGTTCGATCCCTGGTACTGAGAAAAATGAAAAAGACAAAAAAAAAAAAAAAAAAAAAAGAGCTCTACAGTTAGGCATGGTGGTACATGCCTCTCATCCCACCACTCAGCACCCAAGGCAGGAAGATCAGTTCTATGGCAGGAAGATTGTAGACTGTGCAACAAGACCCCATCTCCAAAAACAAAACAAAACAACCCCTTATGGAAAAGTAGCAGGCAGTCAAGGAGCAATGATGGAACCATCTGGTATGTCTCATAGGGAACACGGGGAACATCCTGCTTTGAGAAGACAGATTCAGGTGATGAATAGTATTCATCACATTGTAAGATTGTCATTTTGTGTAGAATTTTCTTAAGCTTGCCAAGTTCCCTTATACATGTTATTCTTTTAATAAAAATGTAATTTTAAGCCAAGAGTGGTAATGTACACATGTAATCTCAGCACTGTGGAAGACCAAGTTAGGAAGATTGCAAGTTAAAGGCTAGCCTAGGCAATTTAACAATATAGCAAGACTGTCTCAGAATAAGAAAGGAATGGGGCTGAGGGTTTAGCTCAGTGGCATAAGCACCTGCCTGGCAAGCATGAGGTTGTGAGTTTGATCCCCGGAACCAGAAAAAAAAAAAAAAGAAGAAGAAGAAGAAGAAAGGTTTAGAGATGTAGTTCATTGTGAAGACCCTGGGCTCAATACCTAGTATCATATACAACACAAAGTTTTGTTTCTCTCTCTTTCTCTCTCTCTCTCTCTCTCTCTCTCTATATATATATATATATATATATATATATATATATACATATATATGTATATATATAATTTTAATTATATATTAAAATATATATGATATGTACATATATCATAAATAATTTTAGGTGGGCACAATGGTGCACACCTGTAATCCCAGCACTCATGTGGCTGAAGCAAGAACATCACCACAAGTTCATGGTCAGCCTGCACTACAAAGTGAGAACCCCATCTCAAAAAATTTTTTAATAAGTAAGTAAGGCTGAGGCAGGAGGAAAGTGTTCAAAGCCAGCCAGTGCTACACATAATTCGAGATTGACAGAGACTTTATAGCAAGACCATGTAGCTTTCCAGGAGTATCTTTGTAATTTAGAGCTGGAACTCCTAGTTCACAGTCCTCAGACACAGGATGGACTCAAATTCAGAAGTAAACTCCTTAATTCCTTTACAGTATAAGAGTTTTATAGAACAGTGAATTTAACCATCAGTTTTATATTTTCTAAAGAGTTAGAATTTAAGAATATGACCATAGAGATACCTTAAATTTAAATTTTGTAGAAGCTTATTGCTGTAGTTCTGATGAAAATGAAGGTAGGATAAATGTAAGGAGGGCAGGATTTCTTTGTTCCCCTGAAGGATGGAGCAGAAATTTACATATCCTAATGATGAGCCTTGTTCAATGCTAGAAATTAAAATCCTATTGACGGGGCTGGGGATTTAGCTCAGTGGCATATGCACCTGCCTTGCAAGCACGTGGTCATGAGTTCGATCCCTGGTACCGATAAAAAAAATAAAATCCTATTGATTAATAATTTATGGCCATAGACTGGAGATCATCAAAGCACTTTGTTACTGAAGAAGGAAATGAGATGATTGTGCGTATGCTATCAGGTAACACTAATTTGTAAAAAGGGAAAACCATAGACTTAACTGCTAAAACTATCAAACTCTTAGACGAAAATATAGGAATTGATATTCATGATGTTGGATAATCAGAGCCTTCTTATACATAAAAAGCACAAGTGATGAGAAAGAGTAAATAAATTTGACTTTAGTGCAGTGAACTGTAAATGACAGTTCACAGAATGAGAAAGAAATGTTTGAAAAGCATATGTCTGATCATGGACTTGTATCTAGAATACATAAATAATTTTTTGCAAGTGAATAATGAGAAAATAAATTAACTAATTAAAAAATGAGGATAGCCTGGGCATGATAGTGCACAACTGAAATCTCAGCATTAAGGAGGGTCTCAGGAGGGTCACTGCCAGTTCAGTAGCAAGACCTTGTCTTGAAAAACTAAAATATTGAGATATAAGACAGCTATGAGAAAATACCCACAACAGAGGACTTGCAGAACTGCTTCAGAAAGTAGAAATGCTGGTGGGTATGATGGTGCACTTCTGTAATCCCAGTACTTGGGAGGCTGAGGCAGGAGGATCGTCGTAAGATTGAGACCAGCCTGGGCTACAAAGCGAGCTCAGGGCCAGCCTGAACCATATAGCAAGACCCTGTCTCAAAAAGATTTTAAAAAAAAGAAGTGGGGGCGGGGGAGAAAGTGGAAAGGCTGAGCAGTGAACAGCAGAGAAATAGCCTCTCTGAGATTTGGTGGTCAAACACTTGAATATAACAACATGAGGAAGAGAAGGAGAGAAGTGGTTCCCCAGGACCCAGCAAGGATTTGAAGTGAAAACTGAACTGCAGGGGTGGGGGATTTAGCTCAGTGGCATAAGCGCCTGCCTTGCAAGCAGGCAGTCGATTTCGATCCCTGGTACCGATAAAAAGGCAGGGGGGGCGTGGAGAAAACTGAACTGCATGGGGAGAGTCAAGAGAGGGACCTCAACAAAGAAGAAACAGGTGGCAAGTAGCACTTCCTCCCTGAACCCTGTGACTCACTGCTTCAGGTGTAGCTTGAATCTGCAGACACCTGGTAACTACTGGTGACCCAGAGGCCTCAATGGAGAAACACACCAGTGGGACAGAGCAGTAGATGTGGTGAACTGCAGTGACTGGTGAGTTATTCAAGTTCAGACCTCCCCCAGGAAGGGGTGAGTAGCCTGTAGCCATCTTGAAGAGGGCCCAGCTGAGCTCGGAACTCAGAGCAGCTGCAGGCTTCCGCAGCTCCCAGTGTCAGGGTGAATCAACCAAGTTCAAGCTGGTAGGGATCAAGGAGCCAAGTCAAAGCTGGCAAGAGGCATTTGGAGTATTACAGGCAGAACAAATGAGGTTCCAGCCTCACAACCAGAAAGCAACCTAAACTTCAGTGGAACTAAAAGTGTAGGCTTGCTGGGATTATCTACCGCCCTGCTGTGAATCTACAGCACACTGGCTAGGATTAATCAACACAGATCTGGGCTCTTTAATAAATGATGCTGGGAAAACTGGCTTTCCACATTCCAGAGATTAAAACTCGACCTCTGTCTCTCATTATTCACTAAACTAAAATCAAAATGGGTCAGAGATCTAGATATTAAAACAGAAAACACTAAATCTGCTGCAAGGTAGGATAGGTAGAACTCTTAAAGACATTGGTGTAGGCAAAAATTTTATGAACAAAGCCCTGATCACAAAGAATCAACAGCTGGGATTTCATCTTATTAAAAAAGGTTTTGCATAGCAAAAGAAACCACCATGAGAGTGAAGAGACAATCCACAGTTTGGGAAAAAATTTTTTCCAGCTGTTCCTCAAAGGATTACTATCTAGAATATATAAAGAACTAAAAACAAAATAAAACAAAAAAAACCCTTCCCATTTAAAGACCCATTCCAGGGGCTGGGGATTTCGTTCAGCAGCATAAGCACCTGCTTTGCAAGTGTGCGGTCATGAGTTCAATCCCCAGTACCAATAAAAAAAATAAATAAATAAAGACCCATTCCAAAATTGTGTCCCTAAAATGAAACTGTGTGTAGTGTGTGGTACTGGGGATTGAACTCATGACCTTGTGCTTACCAGGCAGGTGCTTATGCCATTGAGCTAAATCCCTAACCCAGTGTGTCTAAAAGGAATAAACACTTCTCAGATGAAATAGAAATAGCAAATAAATATATGAAAAAATGTTCAATATCACTGGTCATTTAAAAGATGCAAACTAAAACAACACTGAGATTCCATTTCACTCCAGAAACAATGGCTACTATCAAGAAATCAACCAATAACCAATGCTGGAGAGGCTGTGGGGGAAAAGCAACCCTTCTCCACTGTTGATGGGAGTGTAGACTGTGGAAATCAGTGTGGTAATTCCTCAAAAACTTAAGACTAAAGGTTCCATGTAACCTAGCTATTCTTCTTCTTGATATCTTCCTGAAAGA